TTACCAGAGTGCAAAAAGGTTAGTTTTTTTATGTATGAACTCTGTTTTAAAAAAACTGTTTTAATTTCAGTCTCTGTTTCTGTCTCTAATTTTAATGTTTTTCTTTGATTAGAGAGACATGTCTACAAGATGCGAATGTTGCGATATGACGGAGGAATACACGGCGGAGTATATACAGAGTGTTCGGAATCTCTTCGCCGGAAAATTTGTATGTGGACTCTGTTCCGAGGCGGTGAAGTACGAGATTTTCCGGCGATGTGTCGGAGTCGATGAAGCTTTAGCGATTCACATGAGTTTTCACGGCGAGTTTGTTGCTTCTTCTCTCTCTCCGACGATCGATTTCATATCGGCGATCGGAGAGATGTTTAGGAGAAGACTGATTCTTGATTTGCCGAGAACGACGTTAGCTTCGACGGACATAGCTCCGGTGAGTATTGTGGCGGTGGAAAGTGGGGGGATTTGTGCTGCGGCGGTGATTGGTGGGACTGGAAGTTGTTTGCCTGCTTTGTCCGGAGGTGTGTAGATCGGAATATTCGATTTTCCCGGCGAAGAATCAAACAGAAAAGAAAGTGTGCGTCGTGAGTGTGAACGCAATAATTGTTTATTCATGAAAAAGAGGTAAAAAGTAAAAACAAAACAAAAAAAATCAGGTGTAAATATTTAGTACAAGTAAAAAAAAATCGGGGAATTTTTTACGATGTTGCTTTGGTTGTAATCTAAATGTTTATGTGAAAATGTCAAATGTTGAAATGAGTGTTTAATTAATGGAATTTTTGGTGTGTTGAATATTTGAAGGGTCTTAAAATTCATGATTTTTCTTTAAATTCTGCAAGTAATTTGTTTGCAAGTAATATATGCCGGACTAATCCGTTTGTGAAATGGATCATTTTATTTTTGAGAGGTATAATAATATTTTGCATACCACATAAATCAGTTCATTACAAACAAGTAATTTGATAAAAAAAAAAATTGTGTTAGGACTACTATAATTGTTCAACTATACTATTAAACTCTAGTTACCTTTTCATTCTTCTAATTTTTTGTTGGGTAAGATTTGTGTGAAGATTATGAATAGAAAGAGTCTAGAAAGATCAAAAACATTATAATTATAGGACCCGAGTATATCCTAATTATTGTTGTCATCTTTTGCTTACATATGTATTTCTTGTTAAAGTGGATTCTTACTATCCTTGCATGTGCCGAATGGATCAATGATAAGATTATTCGTACAAATCAGATTAGGATTTAGTGGGACCTATTTTCTAATCTGGTCTCGTCTTCACTAATCATTAATTGATATTCATAAATTAGAGGAAAATTCTAGGTTCCACTATTTTTTTTTTAATTTCTCAAAATAACATTGAAAAAAAAAATTACCCGACTTCCACGAAAAGAATTGTATCACCATAACGAATGATGCTTCGTAATATGCGGTATAAATTCATTCAAAATGATAATTTCCTTGTATATACGTATTCAAATAGTCAAATACTTGGGATGTTTTGATATTTTGATTATACAGTAGTTGACAACAAAATAATACTAATATTCTTTATTACTTCGGTATTTATCATTTTGTATATGTATCAGCATCAGCATCTTGAAATGAGAATTGACTGATACTAAAATTTAAGAAAGTATTTAAATTATACACGCATTATTAGTCCGACTAATCATTATTTTAAAGTCACGACTAAACTTTAAATTAATAATCAAGTAACGTTTATCTTTCTTTTTTTTTTTTATTACTAATAATCAAGATCGTTATTATTATCTTTCAAGTCCAAAACCCATACAAACATCGACCAAAATATGACAGTAAACCGGTTACGTAAATTTCCGAAATAATTAACCGAAGTTGAACGAGGTGAAAAAAGAAATTACAATGTTTTTTTAGTAGTTGGTGATAATCAAGATCGAGACAATTGCGGATACCCATCAGATGTACTACCTGGTTGCACCATATGGACTTGGACAAGCCTAGTAAGTGGAGGACCCCCTTGCACAAGTGATTATGATGATGATGAAGAGGATGATGGAGAGGATGATGAAGAGGATGATGGAGAGGATGTCACAATGTTCTTTTAGGCTTTGGGTTTTGTGTATGAGTCACAATTAACTTTTCATCTCCATTCTCTAAAACTAGTCTTGAGGCTCAAATCATTTGCAGTCATGTGCAATNTCGAATGCTTAATNAACCTAGTTTTTTATGGTATAGTCTTCATCAAACCTTCAACTATCTCTTTGTGCATATACACATTTATCGTAAATCTTTGTTGTCAAATTCAAGTAATTGACTCCTTTGGGGAACAAATCAACCTAGTTTTTATGGCAATCTGTCGATATAAACAAGTTTTTCCTCCCTCTGGTTCTTTGAGTCGATTTGATCTTGCAGAAAAGTAGTAGTTTCACAGAAGAAGATCTCAACCCTTAATATGATTCGTCTCCCATATATATAATAAAAGCTCAAACTCGACCCTTTCCTCAACAAAATATCCTCCTCAAGCCGCAGATATAACCCTAACTTGCTCTTGTCCGATTCTCCACTTTTCCTCCATCTCCGTGGACACCATGGGTGTTACTCCCATAGTCATGAAGAGGGAGGAAATACGCGAAAAATTCGCTTGTAAGATATCTCTCTTGCTCAAAATTGTTTGTCTTTGGATTAGATTTTCATCATCTGAATCGTATCAATCTAATCAATCGTAACTGTTTTATGCCCTTCATAGATACCGAAACAGCCGTCTACTGGGACATGAAGGATTTCCCAGTCACCGATATTGTTTTGTTTAATCAGAATATAAGGTTGGCTCTTGCTGATGCGGGTTATCTCGGTAAAGTGTCAATTAGGGCTTATGGTGACGAGAAACCGGACGACGAAGAATACTATAAGAATGCCGAAATCACCTTTGTATCCAGAGGTTAAGGTTTTCTTTTAGTTTTTTATACTCTCTTCGTTTCAAAATATATAAGATTTTTTTTGTTTCAATATAAGATGTTCTCTATATATGTTCATAGTGATTAATTTGCATTGACTGGCTCTAAGCGTGCTAGAATGCATACGATGCTAGTGGACATGCATTTTGGGTAGCAGATAACCGTGATTGTTCCCTCAAAAACGTGATGGTAATCGCGAAAAACATCATGCCGGCTGACGATTATGACGACATGTTGTTCGCTGCCAATCTTGGGCTTATGAATGCGAGATGCTACAATATTCTCTTGGCAGTTCCTGATGACTACCAACTCAGAAATATGCCAGTTAGGTGCAACTACACAATATGGCTTTGGAGTGACCTACTTGCTGGAGGAAAACCGCTAGAGGATAGCCTAGTATTTCGATGGTACGAACAAGAACCACCACGAGACATTGAGGCAGAACCTTGTTCTCACTGTGGAAAATAATTAATGTTTTATCGATCACATGAATGATCATCAAACGAGCCTTTGGTTTGTTTGTCCTATTTGTGATGAAACGATTTACAGTTGGATGGATTGCTAAAAAAAATTACACCAATAAGTTTAATTTGAATCTCTGTTGTGGGTGTTACAATGTTCTCTTAGGCTTTAGGTTTTGTGTATGAGTCACAATTAACTTTTCATCTCCAAATCAACCAAGTTTTTATGGCAATCCGTCAATAAACTATTAAGTTACAAGCTTTGCCTACCTCTGGTTCTTTGAGTCGATTTGATCTTGCAGGTAAGGATATCACCTTCACACACTCCATCTCTCCAATCATTTGACTAGTCTTCCTTCAAAACCGTCCCAGTCAATACACATACGGCTCTTCCACTCCTTACCTTTTCAACAGTGATTGTTTCACCCGAGATCATACTAGTACCCTTCACATCAAACAAACCTTTAAGTAAACCCCAAAACCAATCCATGGACTATGCTTAATGTTAGTCTCAGACAGAATTACCTCCTTTGCTATTACGAGCAGGAAAGGATGCGTTGATGGAAGTTGAGATTTGAAGGAGAGAAGAAAGATGTGAAGAAGCTGCCCCGAGGTCTCTCATGCACATGCTCCACTTGCATGCTCACCACTGAGATCATATCTCTCTATGGGCTAAGCAATGTGTCCTGTTCAGGCTGGAGAGGAAGATTGGGTCTGCAGCAAATTGTAGAAGTACCTAGAAGCAAACATCGAAAACACAAAATGCTCCGAAAAGGCCATTGAGATTCAGAAACCAAAAAAGCATTTGAAATGATGAATACAAAACGACCCATGTTCCTGGTGATGCATCTTATATGGTAACACAAGTCAAAAGCAAAAGTTTTGACCATTAACTATCCAATTACTAAAGCATTTGAATACAAAAGGATGTTGTTTGTTCACAAAGCCAAAAAGCAAAACTGCGATTAACATGGAGATTCAGAAACATTTGATAAGAAAAAAAAAGCAAATCGATCTTGTCTTGGTGATGCAAGAAATCAGGAGAAATGTTGGCCAACTCTATGGATTGATGAAGACGCTTTCCTTGAAACTCAGAGTGAAGCCCTCAGTTGCAGAGTTCTGGAGATACCGGGAAGCATCCTCTTCGGGTCCGGTGTACAAAAGCATCACTGTAACACCTCTCTCTCTCAGAGTGCGCATGACACTACTGAGATCCTTATCTCCTGTGATAACCAGAACGTTACACCAATAGAAGTGGGGTATGAGCTCATGGCTTGAGACAACGCATCGCATGCCCGGTCAGACGTCCTTTCAAACGTCACTTTAGGGCCTGTTGTAAGCTCTTTCCCGCAGGTGCACACGGAGTATCTAGTTGGAATGTCGGAGATTCGACACCGATCATTCCGTTTAAAATGCTGAAAGTTAGTGACTCTATCGAAAACAGACACATTGCCCTTTCCATAAATCCAAAAGCTTATACTGCCTCCCAGAACGAAAAGCCCTCTTGAGGACAGATTCAAGATGGTTTATGACGTTATTCATATTGTAATTGGCTGAAAATCCCTGATAGCATTTTTTACCTAGAGTCATGCTTGCCTATACCAAGGATGAAACCAAGGATGCTACTTCATATCTTTAAGTATTTATAAGCTCGCTATTTCTTTTTTCCTTCTTGTATCCATCTTTATTCGAGGTTTTGAAGTACATTCTAACATCTTATTTTGCATATCTACGCTAAATCCTTTTTAATACCCTTTATAAACTCTAGAAATCCTCTGTATTGTATATTGGCTTTTGTTTGTGTTGTCGAAGAAAAAGATAATGAAACTAAAGGCACAGAACTTGCACAGCCTCTAATTCTCAAATTCATCTACGCCAATAGTGGTAATCATCCAATTTCTTGACTCTATATTTATTTACTTTTCTAAATGATTGAGTTTGAAGGTTTTTTTCTGAAACATATTCAAGACAAGCAGTGACAAGTCAATTGTGAAATCTGTCGGATAATGGGAAGAACGTTATTCATTTCTCACAAACATGAAATTGATTTTTTGAGACAGAGGATTCTATGAATGTTTTTAAAAATCAAAATCTTAAAATTTAGGTTGGAACATCATTTTCTCATATATTTAAGAAATTGACTTTAAACGTCGTTTGCAAAAATTAAACGAAATTTGTAAACGTATACATTGTTTTGGCTTCGCCATTCTCTTAATGATATTCATGTTGATTTTGATTATGATCTATATCATCATAGATAAATACCACTAAATTATCAAAAGAGCGACGGAGCCAATACCATTTACACATTTAACCAT